AGGGGTGTGTAAGAGCATAAAAGTGGTGCTGTGTAGAGGGCAACAGGTTGGCTTCCGCCTACAAAGGGGTGTGTAAGAGCATAAAAGTGGTGCTGAGGTGTATCTGTGTTACCAAATTCCAGGAAAGATGCACCGTATCAGCTTAGCGGGAAGGTCTGTTACGATCTTGACGTCGAGCGGCACTTACGAGAAGCCGTGCCAGCGGTTGTTAAAGTTGTGTCAGGGGAAAAGGGCAGCTGAGGACCTTGAGAGGAGAACAATCGTCCTGACATTGTGTTTCTCGAGAAGAAGTATCAAAAGGTTGCGTTGTCGATGTGAAAGAAGCGGCGGAGAGATTGAGATTTGGCAGAGATGAAGAGAGACGGAAAGGCAAATCGAGCGAGCGAGGTCAAGCCACTTTGAAAGAGACCAAACCTTGATGCTTGAGCATGCTCATGCTCATGCTCCCCCTCATGCTCATGCTCCCCCTCATGCTCCTGCTCATGCTCATGCTCCAGCTCCGGCTCATGCTCCTGCTCATGCTCATGCTCCCCCTCATGCTCCTGCTCATGCTTGTGCTTGTGCTTCTGCTCAGGGTACTGCTCCTCCTCATGCTCCTGCTCATGCTCCTGCTCATGCTCATGCTCCAGCTCCGGCTCATGCTCCTGCTCATGCTCATGCTCCCCCTCATGCTCCTGCTCATGCTTGTGCTTGTGCTTCTGCTCAGGGTACTGCTCCTCCTCATGCTCCTGCTCATGCTCCTGCTCATGCTCCTGCTCATGCTCCTGCTCATGCTTGTGCTTGTGCTTCTGCTCAGGGTACTGCTCCTCCTCATGCTCATCCTTGTCCTTCAAAGTGTATCAAGGATGACACCAATCACAGTGTTGCGCTTTGATGGCCTCCTCCAGAGCGGTCAGACTTCACTGAGGACAGTGCTGCAAAACAGCGAAATCCAGTGACATCAGAGTCAAGACTCCAACACACTCACTTCTTCAAGCTTCAAATGCTGGACAGCTGGCTGTCCGGAACAGGCCCCTACCATGTTGTCCGCATACAAAGCCAGAGCAGGAGCAGGAACATCTCAAAGACATCAACAGACAAGCAAGCAGCCAGGCTAACTTGCAAATGTACAGTACAAGCTGCAGAAGAGGCAGAGACAGTTTTGCCATCTTGCAGCACCCTCTTGTTTGCAGTGCAGTCAGGTGGACTTGATGGTGCGCAGTGCGATTGTTGTGACCACCGACTGCAAGGGACAAAAGGTTGATAGCATCATTGGCAAGGAAGCCTACCTTTCTTTGCCTGTTTGATGTTTGCGCTGGCTATGAGATGGACAACAACGCAGGACAAGATGCTGGCTGGAAGGACAAGCTGCTTTGCACAGCTCAAGGGTGTGCGCAGGGCAGAACGTGCATACAGCCCATGGAGATTGAAAGCATTCATGCTTGCAGCTTGGCTGAGGTTCTAACAGACCAAAGCAGTGCATGGAAGAAGTGTCAAGCAAGAATGGTCAATGAGCATAGGTCACGCAATGGTCTAAATGGACATGACGCGGTTGCTCAAGCTCCAATTGCTGGACAGCAAAAGACCTGACCAATCAGTCCACAAGGGCAGAGCAGGAGCAGTAGAAGCTGAAACAGGTGTAGTAGGAACAGCACTTTTCAGTGGCTCCTGTGCGTTTTTTTTTGATGTGCCTGTGATCCTTATTCATAGCACTCTGATGCTGCAAATCTGATCCACAAATTTATAAATTTGGGGTGCAGGCCAAGGGGAGATGGGCACAGATACTACCAACAACACCA